ATTTTTTAAGTTAGGAGCACAAGTGCTCCTATAAAGAAAAGTAAGCGTAGAGCCCTGATATATTCAAACATGAGAACCAGAAATATTTGGCATAATTGACTACAAATCTTGCATGACTTCTTTAGATTCGCCACATGTAAATATACACAAATGTAAATGAGATTTATGTGCTGCAGCAGTGAAGGTTGTTGGTGAAAAATGTCTTAATTTCTGTGTTTTCCTAAAATTTGATTTCGGAATCCCAAAAAATAGTACTCAAGACTGTTTTTATGGCTTTATTTTTCCTTTTTGTCTGTCACTTTTGGAGCTTGACAGCCTTTGCTTACCAATGGACTGATATGTGGGTGGGTAAATGATGACAGAATTCAAATAACCTAATTAATATTCATGACCCAAGCCACACCTGTCAAGTTTGTGTGCAGCGCTACTGACGCTGACAGAAAGTCTAACTTTGTGAACAACCGAAGATGTTTTAGGCCTAATTATTGAACTTTTGTGACAAAAACACCAGGGTGATTGACGTTTTTGGGAAGTTTTTCAGCTGTCAAATGGTATCTGGTATCAAGTTTGGGATTATTCCTGTCATTTTGGCTTTGACTGATTTATTTTACAAAGAAATGTAATGTGTAATTTACCTGGCATGAACATCCGACATGTTCACTATGCTGAAGGGAGAGATGGAGCTGCAAGTGAGGATGGGGGAAAAACAAAGAGGAGAATATAAAAAAAGAAAAGCTTGTTTAGAATGAAGCACAGGGATGAGGCAATTGCTGAATGCTCTGACGTCAATTATGTTCCCTCGGGACATTGCCATGGGGCTGTGTTTTTACCAGACTCAAGTGTGTGTGTGTGTGTGTGTGTGAGGGCAGGGCTAGAGCTGCCATTGCCACAGTGATAGGATTAGACACAGCTGTCACAGCATGAACTTGAGCCAAGAGGACGGTTTCTTTTGTTCCTGTTGTTCCAAGAGTATTATTTAATGCAACTGTAGCTTTGACTCTGTATTTTTTTACACAAGCTGTGTGTGTGTTGCAGAGGTCTTAAGTCCTTTTCTCATGAAGTCCTGTTTTGTTAGTCAACATTCACAATCACAACTTACATTAAGTGATGTAATTCTGAGCGAACCAAGGTATTTATTGTTTTAAAAATGTGTATTAATAAAGTAAATTGGTTTTTAAGGGTTGGTTTATACTTTTTAAATAGTTAGCTACACTACAAACACTAGCTAACAATTGTTTAACAATCTGATAGATATATCATCAGATCGTTAAACAATTGTTAACAATTTCTATAATAAATTATATATATATATATATATATGTTTTTTTATTATTGATTTTATTTTGTACTTATTCAGACGTTTCAGTTGTTATGATTTTGTAATGGTTTAAAGTTTCTTCTGCTCACCAAGGCTGAATTTATTTGATCACAAATGCAGTAAAACCAGTAATATTGTGAAAGGTCATTACAAATTAAAATAACTGGTTTCTATTTTAATATATTTTAAAATGAAATTTATTCCTGTCGTGGCAAAGCTGAATTTTCAGAAACCATTACTCCAGCCCCACAGATTCTTTGAGGAATAGAAAGTATAAAAGAACAGCGTTTATTTGATATTTAATAGAAATAGATCTTTTGTAACATTATAACTGTCTTTACTGTCACTTTTGATCAATTTAACATGTTCTTGCTGAATAAAAGTATTCATTTCTTTCAACAAAAAGAAAGAAAGAATCTTATTGTTTAGTACACTTAATAATTGTAACAAGTTTTTCCTTTTTTAAGGTGTTTGTTCCAGGACTATTGAATAAAGATCCCAATCATATTTTCTAAAGAAGTTATTCATTTTGAATCAGTAGAAGTCTGATTCATCAGTTGAATTGACGGGGATTTTGACATGTGTTTCTCTCAGATGATTGCTAAGCCGAACGAGCCGGGCCGACAGCATGAGAGCCACCCGGAGGAGACGGAGGAGGAGCTGCGGGAGCACCAGGGGCTGGGCGACTCCACGGAGGCTCTTCCTCACGGGGTCACCATCAAACAGGAACCTCCGGATGAGCAGGATGAAGAGTTCCAGCAGAGAGAGATGCAAGCCGAGGAAGAGCTGCTCTTCAGACAGGTGAGGGTGTTAGAGCAGACAGACAGCTGCAGGAATATACTGTATGAAAGCGCATCTGTTGCTGTTTCTGTGAATGGCACAGGATGAAGTCACAAACACACTGAGCACCAGAAGGGGGCAGCAACAGGCTCCTATAAAGAGTCAGACACCCTGTTGGTGAAAAAGGGTTATTAACTCTTAAGAACGATCTGTCCCAACAAGATACTGCGTATTTCTGGCACTTACTCAGCTGGAGACATGCATTCATTTTACTTAAAGCTGCCATAAAACAATAATAGTGGTTTATGTCAAATACAAATAGACCAACTGTGCTAGCTAACATGCTTGTGTCATTGGAACTCATTTAACTGAATCAGCAGTATTGCACAAATAAATATTTCCAAAACAGCAGATCTTGTACTTTTCTATTTTATTCTCATATTTAAATCATAATAAATTTACATAATAACATTTTTATATTAATTTACACTTCAAAAAAATACACCACCTTTTAGAAGTTTAGGTTCGGTAAGATTTTGTATTGTTTTTGAAAGAAGTCTGGATTTGTTTGATTAAAAATACATTAGAAAACAAGTAATATTGTGAAATGTAATTGCAATTTAACATAATTGTTTTCTATTCGAATATATTTTCAAATGTAATTTATTCCTGTGAAGACAGAGCTGAATTTTCAGACATATAATTAAAAATGGCCTTTTATTTACATGAGATGCTCAGAATGAGTTTATTTATGCAATCCCTGAAAAATCTGTGTATTTTTTCACCATTCAGAAGTGTTTCATGCAACCACAGATCCTCAACGCTTAATCGCTGCTTTTTAAAAATGAACAGGAGGTGGGTACTGTGCTGGACGAGATCATTCAGGTCCAGCTCTTTTTCTTCTTAATGGGCAGCAGGGGGTGCATGTTCCTCTGCATATTCCTGCAATCAAACTGAAATATTCATCAGCTAACTAACGCTGTGTCCAAAACTGAAGGTAGCTGACAATTAACAGGCAGTGTTTATGTTTGAAGAAACCTCCAAAGGTTTCAGACCAGCTTCCAAGGCACCGTAGCATCACTTCTAATGATCGAGAATAAATCAAGTCAGCTTTAGACATAACCAAGTAAATATTTAAAGGCTACAGTGCTTGTTTCTTAGTAGAAATTGAAATATACGCTACTGTTCAAAAGTTCAGTTTTATTAAGTCAATATGTTTATTCAGCAAGGATGCAAATTGAACTGGTCAAATGTGACTTTTTTAAATAAATGAAATGAATCAATGAATCCTGAAAAAACAGCACAGTTTTCGCAAAAATACTAAGCAGCACAGCTATTTTCAACATTGTTAATAATAAAAAAAAAAAAATTCTCGAGCAGCAAATCAGCATATTCGAATGCAGTAGCGGGCTGTGCATTTCACACCTAGGCCTTCAATGGCAGAATTAATCCATCTCATCATAATGATGCCACGGCTATAGAAACCATAAATATTGCACAGAAATGCAGTATAACAGGGCATTGCATCACAGAGAGGTATCTCATGTAGTGAGAATGAATGCTATTACTAAAGCAAGAAACCTAATTAACACAATTCTATAAGTTTCCACATCTGCGCAACGCACATCATCTCTAGCTGAAGCATTAACCTAAAAAAATGACACAAATACAGTCCACCCGATGTTCTTACAGACCGTTGCCGAGGAGGTGTGTGGTTGTTTTTCGCGGTCACGTTTTTAGATTTAACGTTACAGTAGGCAAATATTTTTTCCAGAAAATCTAAACCTGAGAAACAGGAATAATACTGTGAAAACAAAAATGATTTACAGTGATGCTGTTTGTCAGCTCTGACTAGTACGCTCTGACCATCCAATCAAAGGACGATAAAATGCTGACGTTAGCATACGCCTGCTAGATGGCCCTGGTGCTGCCAACTCGAAATCTGATTGGTTAAAGCACCGGTTTCATTGCCATTTATTTAAGCTAACAGACTCCTGCACTGTTGATTCTGAACGCCTTAGGCAGATTTCTTTGACCCTGGCAACACGATTGCTGAAATATGATTGGATAAAAGCTCTAATATGAATATACACTACTGGAAGAAGCGCAACCAAGAGAAAAGCTGAAATGAACAGACTATTAGAAATAACTGAATACACATTCATTGAAAAATATATTAAAACTAAGACTGATTCTGATAGTGTTTAGGCCAGCAGAGAAGGCTTTGCTGGCCCTGACGGCGCACCACTGTTAGAATGATTTCTGAAGGATCATGTGACACTGAAGACTGGAGTAATGATGCTGCTAAACATTCAGCTTTGCATCATAGAAATAAATGACATTTTAAAATATATTCAAATAGGAAACACTTATTTTAAAGTGTAATAATATTTCAAAATATTACTCTTTTTACTGTAATAATAAATTCAGCCTTATAAGAAGCTTCTTTCAAAAACATTAAATCTTACTCACCCCAAACTTTTAGTGTCATTAAAAAAAAAAGCATATTTATGAATTAATTTGTATTTTTCAAGCCAGGTTCAGTTTTTATTCTTTCAAGTAACCACCTCAACCATATGTACTTTGGTGCCTTCAGATCTTCATATACTGCCTTAGATATTTTCACGTTTTACTGTCTTGAAGAGCTAAACAACAAAGCATTGTGGGATATGAAGTGGAGCTCAGAACACTCTTGCCTTTATAAGCATAATAAGTGAAGATTTTCAAAATGTAAAGCATTTTCTACATATAACACTTTTGTTAGTGGTTTGCAATGTATTGAGTGCCACCTGCTGGTTATTTTTGTAACTATAGGGTGCCTAAAAACACTTCTTCTCTATAAAGTATGAAACGTCCGTATAAGGATATGTACGTTAATTTTCACATATTGACTTCATAGCAAAGTTCATTTATTTCAAGCTAAACTTCTGTTCTTGTCTCTGAGCAGCAAGCTCTCCTGTTGGAGCAACAGAGGATCCATCAGCTGAGGAACTTTCAGGCATCCATGGAAGCGGCCGGTCTGTCTATGACCTTCCCAGGCCACCGGCCCCTGTCCAGAGCACAATCATCCCCGGCCTCTGCGACCTTTCCCATTGTGGTGCAGGAACCTCCAGCCAAACCGCGCTTTACCACCGGTCAGTCACTGGATTAGATGCTCCAAATAATTTACCAACTGAACAGCTAAGCCTCGGGACATTACCTTAAAAAAAAAAAAAAGTGTATTTATATTAGTTTGCAGCCCTCTTTAAATAAGTATTTGTGTCTTTACAGGTCTGGTGTACGACACCCTGATGCAGAAACACCAGTGCATGTGTGGAAACAGTAACAACCACCCCGAACACGCCGGGCGCATCCAGAGCATCTGGTCACGACTGCAGGAGACGGGACTGCGCGGCCAGTGTGAGGTAGCCCGTTCACCCACGTCTCTCTCCGTTTATGACATATCAGCACTTTTAGCGGTAACATGGTGTAATCTTTCAGCACCAAACATATTTAAGTGGTATTTAGCTTCAGCCTGCTGGTTACTGTGGCAGGTTGAAGGATATTTTTACGATCTGTAGAGGGCGCTGTTCAGCCATCACAAACACAGCCACACACTCCTGTTGATGAAAGTTTATGAATAAACCAGTTTTACTCAAAGGAAAAGGGGGTGTGAGATTGTTTTGAGTGTGTTCGAGGAGTTTTTCATTACAAATTGGAGAAAGGAAAAAAAAATCATAATGTCTTAGTATTTGGTTCGTCCCACTTTTCCTCTAATGAAGGTAGCAATGAAGCTACATGAACACCACAGGTTTGTTCAAAACCTGATGCTGATGTTCTGCAGCATCATCTGAAAATGATCCTAAGAGCATCTTGTGCTTCAATGGAAGCAGCAGCTTCTGACTTTTGCACTGAAGAGTAACATGACCAATTTTAAGAATTATAATAACCTAAAATACTTTTAATTTAGTAAGATTTTTTAGATGTTTTGGAGTCTGTCTTATATTCACTTACAGCATTTATTTGATCAAAAATGTGAAGTATCATTACAATTTAAAATAGCTGTTTTCTATTTGAATATATTTTAAAATGTAATTTATTCCTGTGACGCAAAGCTGAATTTTCAGCATCATTACTCCAGTCTCAGTGTCACATGATCCTTCAGAAATCATTCTAATATGCTGATTTACTGCTCAAGAAACATTTATTATTATTATCAAAGTTGGAAACACTTGTGCTGCTTAATCATTTTGTCGAAACCATGATGGATTTTTTTTCCCTCAAGATATCTTGGATATCTTTGATGAACGGAAGCTTTAAAAGAACAGCATTTATAAAATTCTTTTTTTTTTTTAAACATTATGAATGTCTTTAGTGTCCCTTTTGATTAATTTAAAGCATCATTGCTGAATAAAAGTATTAATTGCTTTCAGAAACAAACAAATTTTAAACATTATTTCTTCTTAATTTAATACTAAATGTTTCAAAATCCTGCAGCTTAGTTTATTTACAAGTTTAAACTACACAAATCACAGATTTCCGTTTACAGACTCTAGAACCTGCATGCAACTCCTCACAAAGCACCACACAATTCATATCTGTTTGTTTGTGCACACACACATATATATATATATATACATATAAATATATATGCACGCTTTAAGCTATAATTAACATTATTTTACCCCATTTACCACATTTTGCACGATGCTTAAATCCGTTTTCCCCCAAAATCAGCGCAGAAAAGCAGTCTGTGCCTGCTTATCTCTGCCTCCACCTGCTGAGGGCAATTCCTGAGCTCTCTCATCATCTGGAGCTCTGATCGCTGGTGCCTAATGGCTCTCGCTGGATCTAATCTCTCCTGCCACGCTGGCTCCATTGCGTCAGGCCTGTTAGAGTTAGTCGCATAGCGGCAGTCTCTGTTTTCCTCCAAACAAACAAGTAAACAAGCACGACAATGGCATGGCCGCGCGCCCGCTCTCTCGCCTACATTCGCTCCTTGGTGGGGATGTTTATTGTTCTGGGAGATGGAAACAGTGAATTGGGCCTCAATTAAAGGCAGTCATGACTCTAATACCCCCTAATCTACAGCAGGGGGGCCCTTAAAGAGTGTGGGGTTGTTTTAAGCTGCCGCCAGCCAGCACCGGGCCCCCGAGGGCCCCTCTTTAACTGCCCCTGCTGTTAAATCTGAGAGGTAGTACGTCCTGTTGCAGGTGTCACCTCGGAGCGGCCCAGAGCGCTTCCACAGGTGGGCAGGTCCGCCTCCCTCTCGGATGGTTTGTGTCTCAGAGGCCAGAGCTATTAAAAAAGGGAAAATTACATTATTGCAAATCCAGCAGCTCCGGCACCTCCGAGGGCCAACAGCATTGTTCTACAGGCATGTGGGGCCCAGTTTGGAGTGGGAGGTGGACAGCGGGTCTGTTTCAGCTCTGCTTAGACAACTAAAGACTTCAGAGGGAGCAGGATGGCGGTTCAATATGGCTGTCGATTTTGCAATCAATGAAATATGTCTTGCCAAAACATTCCAGTCAATAAACTAATAATAACAGGCGCTGTAAAAAAGACATGACCTAGACCGGGGGTGTCCAGTTATGCTCCTGGAGAACTCCAACACACTTGTCTGGAAGTTTCTAGAGAGTCGGAGGACCTTGATTAGCTGGTTCAGATGTTTTTAATTAGTGTTAGAGCTCAACTCTGCAGGACAGGTTTTTTAAGGACACTTTTTTTTTTACATATTAATCAGGTTGTTCAGAAAGACTATTTTTGTACATAATTGTATAAAAATCTAGAATGTGTGCTTTACTTACATGATTTTGTTTTTTAAAAATCCATGTTTTTAGACAGATTTGTCTTATATAATGTAAAATCATTTGCATTTGCAACTTGTTTAAATGGGAATTTATTTAATACAATTTTGAGATTGTGAACAAGTGAACTGTAAAGAAATGCTTATTCAGCCAGGATGCATTAAACTGTCCTGAAGAAAGGTTTAGGATTTTGAAACATTTTAAATTAAATTAGGAAATATAATACCATTCACAGGTTTAGGGTCAGTGCTTCTTCTTTTTTTAAACAAAGTTAATGTTTTATTCAGTAAGGATGCATTAAACTGATGGAAAGTGACAGTCAAGACTTCTACATTGTTACAGAGGATTTTTGTTTCAAATAAATGCTGTGCATTTTTAACTTTCTATTCATCAAAGTATTATAAAAAATATAATTTTGTTTTTTAAAATATTTAGACAGATTTGTCTTATATAATGTAAAATCATTTGCATTTGCAACTTGTTTAAATGGGATTTTATTTAATACAATTTTGAGATTGTGAACAAGTGAACTGTAAAGAAATGCTTATTCAGCCAGGATGCATTAAACTGTCCTGAAGAAAGGTTTAGGATTTTGAAACATTTTAAATTAAATTAGGAAATATAATACCATTCACAGGTTTAGGGTCAGTGCTTCTTCTTTTTTTAAACAAAGTTAATGTTTTATTCAGTAAGGATGCATTAAACTGATGGAAAGTGACAGTCAAGACTTCTACATTGTTACAGAGGATTTTTGTTTCAAATAAATGCTGTGCATTTTTAACTTTCTATTCATCAAAGTATTATAAAAAATATATATGTTTTCAACATTGGTAATAATAAGAAATCAGCATACTGAAATGATTTTTTGCTGAGTCATATGACACTGAAGACTGGAGTAATTATGCTGAAAATCAAAAAAATATACATTTTAAAATATATTAAAACAGACAAAGGCTTTTTTTTAAATGGTAAACATTTTTCACAATATTACTGTTTTTCTTGTATTTTTGATCAAATAAATGCAGCCTTAGTGAGCATAAAAGACTAATTACAAAAAAAAAATGTTAAATTCTTACTGACGCCAAACTTTTGAATATTAGTTCACGGTTAAGAACATAGAATATACACAAAAAATGTTGTATTTCAATTAACAATAATTTTACACTATATTTTAACAAAAACTGGCATCAAATCTCAAAATTAAGACAATATTTCAGCTGATTAATATCAGTCTGTTGCTACATAAGAAACTCACAGCCTCCACCTCATCCATGTCAAACCGAATATAGCATCTTTTCCTACTTAGGTTTTAACTCACTTTTTTTTTTTTTGCAGTGTATTCGAGGCAGGAAAGCCACTCTGGAGGAGCTACAGACGGTCCACACTGAGCCTCATGTGCTGCTTTACGGAACCAACCCTCTCAGACAGAAACTGGACAGTAAGAGCAAACACACACACACACACACACACCTGACTACACCACGGGCTGAATCTGACTGAGTTTTGTGAATGAGCGCATTGTTGTATTTCTCTCTCTGCGACAGTTGGAGACTGCGATGGCCTTCTCAGTTATTAGCCCGTGAAGCTTCTCCTGGACTTCTGCAATTATCCACATTATTTACGCTTCTGCAGCCAGATCCGCCTTACAGCATGTTTCCTAAATGCTGCAATTTGTTTCATTTCTTGTTTTGGCCCGTTGTCATTCCCTCCCCATCCCAAACTCCCTGGCGTTCCCCTCTGTCAGCCCACTCTCTGCTTTCATCAGTCATGGCCTTGATCTGAGTTTGCCCCTGAGCTGTCCGTCAAGGCCGTCACCTCTCTGCCAATAACAACCACACATGCAGTTTTCCATGACTTCAGCTCCGGCCCCCTCATGCAGCGATCAAACACATGCTTAAACGACCTCACACACACGTGCACACGCACGGATATTTCACACTCGTCGGGTACGGAGACAACATGTTTCCACCTTTCCTATCTGATTGGGTCGGTTTATTCAACAGACTTTTTTGATCTTGCAACAATGTGTTGCTTCATAAGCACGATTGATTTGAGAAATAGGGCAATTTTAATCAATAGATGCTTTGCCTCATTGAGAAACGTTGGATTATTGCATGTGTGTTTGTGCAGTAATATAGTAGGGGATGGTCATTGTGGTCATTTTGTTGAGTATTCGGGGTTGGTGGTCTTAGACCTCAGACCTTAATGGTTGCACTTTTTGGTTCTCTAAAAATAGCTGTTTGTCAATCAAACTACATTGATATGTTTTTGATTAATTTAAAAGAGCCTGCTCTAAAGAGTAAATTAGTTGAATCAAATGACACTGGTTGCATTTTTTTGATTCACTAAAAAGAGCTGGCTCATAAGAGTCATTGATTTGTGAATCATACGACACTGTCTACACTATTTGTTTTTGATTCACTAAAAAGAATCAGCTCATAAGACTTATTTGTTGTTGAATCAGATGACTATGTTTGTACTGTGTTTTTGATTTGCTAAAAAGAATTGGCTCATAAGAGCCATTAGTTTGTGAATCAAATGACACTATTTGCACTATGCTTTTGATTCACTTAAAAGAGCCGGCTCATAAGAATCATTGATCCGTGAATCAAATGACATGGGTTGCACTAAATGTTTTAATTCACTTAATAGAGCCAGTACATAAGAGTCTAAAAAGAACTGGCTTGTAAGAGTCATTAGTTAATGAATCAAATGACACGGGTTGCATTATAGTTTTGATTCACTAAAAAACCCCCAGCTCATATTCATAAAGAGTCATTTTTTTTCATGAATTGGATCACACTGTTTGTTTTGTATTTACTAAAAAGGACCAACTCATTAGTTTGTGAATCAAATGACACTGGTTATGTTTTTGATTTACTAAAGAGTCGTTTCATAAGAGTCATTGGTTTTGAATCGAATGACACAGGTTGCACTATATGTTTTTAATTCACTTTAATTCTTGCACCGCTCTTGTTTAGCCTGTATATGCTCCCACTAAGTCAAATAATGAGAAAGAACCAAATCGCCTATCACAGCTATGCTGATGATACCCAGATTGACTCCCTCTGCCCTTAAAAGAATCAGATCAGAAGAGTCGTCAGTTTATGAATCGGATGACATTATATAAGTTGCACTATGTTGTTTGTGCATATATGATTGTGCAGTCAGCAAAGACAATGCAATAATAAATACATATTGTCTTAAAATCATCTTGCCACTTTTTTGCCTTATCAAACTACACAACTATACAATTAGTTCTATAACCGTAGTGTTCCAAATTCATCTTCTCCACTGAACAGTGGTGCAAAAACACTAAAGTGTATTTCTGGCCTGACATGTACAGTAATAGATATGACTCATGCACATACATCTTGATATTCACATGCAGAAGTCGATTAGCTTAGTGATGTTGATGATCTTTATCTTTCTCTCTGTCTGTCATCAGGCTCAGTGACACCCATGTTCGTGAGACTGCCGTGCGGAGGAATCGGGGTGAGTTTCTCTTTCTTTCCCGTGTGTAAATAACGGTCCTGTTTGTTCTCCCTCCCCCGAACTCCAGCGGCAACGAAAACTGTTGCTCTCCTCTCTGCTGAGCGGGTAATTGTGTCCAGATGTTTTCTATAAACAAGCTGTGTGCGGTGTGTGTGTGTGTGTGTGTGTGTGTGTATTCTCTGATGATGATGATGATGATGATGATGAATGAATGGATAGACTTGTTCTTCAGTGCTGAGTGGACAGTGTCAGCCACACTCTTTCACGGCTCTGGAACAGGAAGTACTCATCCTCACTTCTCTCATTCTACTCATGCCCTCCCCGTCTGGTGTAGGTGAATGATTCAGACAGACTGTGAATGGTTTCCTGTAATGAATGGAGAGATGGTTCAGTCATTCATGTGAAAGAATATGGGGTAACCTCGCTTTTGTGTTGTCGTGGATACAGTATATCTGTATGTCAAAGGGAAATTATTTCTTTTTCTGTGGCCTGTTGGAAATATTGCACAAAATCGTGACTATTTGGGATAATATAATCATTGCATTTCTGCATTTAGATTCATGCATTTGGCAGATGCTTTTATGCAAAGTGACTTATATTGCATTCAAAATAAATTCAAAATACTGCCATAGCTTGCACCATTCTCTGCTGTTTGACCTACAAGAAGACTATATTAAGTTTTACCATACAAATAAGGAAATGTTAAGATAATATAGAGACATTGAACTAGTTTCATATTTGTTTGGTTGTTACAAGTTCCTGAAGCAAAATATCATAGAAGAGGAAGCGCATGTTGGCTCAAAAGACTCTTTATTTAATAGGACCACCTTATTTATTTGCTTATTTATTATATATTTATATAACATACACTTTCTCTCTCCCTCTCTTTATAATTTATAAAGCTGTTCTTTTGAAATTTCTATTCATGAAATAATTGTTAAAAAAAGACACGTTTTCACAAAAATATTAAGCAGCACAACTATTTTTAACTTTGATAATAATAAAAAAATGTCTAATATGCAGCAAATCGGCATATTAGAATGATTTCTGAAGGATCATGTGACATTGAAGACTGGAGTAAGGATGCTGAAAATTCAGCTTTGCATCACAGGAATATATTACATATTCAAATATATTTAAATATAAAACAGTTATTTTAAATTGTAATAATATTTCACAATATGTTATTTTTACTGTCGTTTTAATCAAACAAACAGAACAAATCATTAGTGAGCGTAAGAGAAGCCCCAACATTTGAACATTTATATATGTATATAAAACAATATTTATGTTTTTGTGAACAATGTTTACTTTAATGTATTGTTCAGGTGAACTGGGATCCAAAAAAAAACACCATTCACAGTTTATGACAGTTTAAAAAACAAATTTAATACAATTATCTGTCTGACAATTAATAGCCAGACAAATTCCATAATTGTGATAGATTTGTTTTCATACTTCCAGACGCAGAGAGGTGGATTTATTTGTGTGTGTGTGTGTGTGTGTGTGTGTGTGTGTGTGTGTGTGTGTGTAATGGTGTGACCTCAGGCAGGGCTGTTGGAGGGGGACTGATAAATGGCAGGCGGTCCTGTCTGGCTGAAGTCACAGTCTTTGAGCTGAATGGTGAGAAACAGAAGGGCTCTGGACTCTTTTATGGAAATGGAACAAAATTGTTGTCTTCCTGCATCTCTACAGCAAAAATTAGCCTGTCAGGGTGAAAATAAACTGTGCTTGCCTGAGACCTGCGCCCCCAAACCTCAGCGTCTACAGCATCACTCTATTACTTTCTACCGCTTTTACACCATAGGCCACGTTGGGGTGGGCTTTTGGGGCTTAAGCCCTAATGTTTTGATGTCTTTTGCCAAGTTTTTTTCGTTTGTTCTTTTTTTTTTTTTTTTATTACATATGCTGTTACATATGTATGGAAGCCCGTTTCCGCCACTGAATAAAAAATAAAAGAGGTAATTGCGACTTTTTATCTCACAATTTAGAAATTTTTTCTCAGAATTGCGTGATATAAACAATTGCGAGTTAAAAAGTCATAATTGTGAGATATAAACTCGCAATTCTGAGAAATAAAGTCAGAATTGCATGATATAGAAACAGAGCATAGTAGATTTTTTATTTTTTTTCCCCTGTTGTACCGAAATCGTATATCGAACCGTGACCCCCGAACCGTGACATCTGTGTACTGTTCCACCCCTATTGTGTATGTATATAAAACAATATTTATGTTTTTGTGAACAATTTTTACTCTTAATATGTTGTTCAGATGAACTGGGATCCAACCTCTCACACTTTGACAGTTTACACAAAGAATGTAATTATCTGTCTTTCTATTAATACCCAGACAAGTTTCATAATTGTGATAGATTTGTTTTATGCTTCCAGACGCAGTGAGGTGGATTTGGTTTTGAAGGTGAATTTGTGTGTGTGTGTGTGTGTGTGTGTGTGTGTGTGTGTATTAGTTCAATGGTGTGACCTCAGGCAGGGCTGTTGGAGGGGGACTGATAAATGACAGGTGGTCCCGTCTGGCTGAAGTCACAGTCTTTGAGCTGAATGGTGAGAAACAGAAGGGCTCTGGACTCTTTTATGGAAATGGAACAAAATTGTTGTCTTCCTGCATCTCTACAGCAAAAATTAGCCTGTCAGGGTGAAAATAAACTGTGCTTGCCTGAGACCTGCGCCCCCAAACCTCAGCGTCTACAGCATCACTCTATTACTTTCTACCGCTTTTACACCATAGGCCACGTTGGGGTGGGCTTTTGGGGCTTAAGCCCTAATGTTTTGATGTCTTTTGCCAAGTTTTTTTCGTTTGTTCTTTTTTTTTTTTTTTTTATTACATATGCTGTTACATATGTATGGAAGCCCGTTTCCGCCACTGAATAAAAAATAAAAGAGGTAATTGCGACTTTTTATCTCACAATTTAGAAATTTTTTCTCAGAATTGCGTGATATAAACAATTGCGAGTTAAAAAGTCATAATTGTGAGATATAAACTCGCAATTCTGAGAAATAAAGTCAGAATTGCATGATATAAACTCGCAATTCTGAGAACATATCAGTCTTTTTTCCCCCCCTCTCAAAATTGGACTTTAACTCGCAATTGCGAGTTTATATCACGCAATTCTGACTTTATAACTCACAATTGCATGGTATAAAGTCAGAATTGCAAGATATAAACTCGCAATTGCGAGAAAAAATTCAGAATTGCGAGTTTTTTTCTCACAATTCTGACTTTATAACTCGCAATTGTGAGTTTATATCTTGCAATTCTGTGAAAAAAAGTCAGAATTGTGAGATAAAAAGAGATGTTTTTTTTTTTTTTATTCAGTGGCGGAAACAGACTTCCATACATATGTGCCAGGGTTAGTGTAGTTTACTAAAACTAAAACCTAAAAAAAAGTTTTCATTACTTGAAATAAAATAAATGTTAACTGAAATACAATTAAAAAATAAACTTATTTAAACTTGGCCAACTTAAGTTGCCAAGCCAGCATTTCTTATTTTATTTAGCTTAAATTAATGTAAAAAAAAAAACTATATAGACATATTGGTAACACTTTAATATAGGGACCAATTTTCACTATTAACTAGTTGCTTATTAGCATGCCTATTATTAACACATTGGCTGTTAATTAGTGTCTATAAAGCACATATTCTGCATGAGCATATTCTACATCTCTAATCCTACCCAATACCTCAACTTAATAACTACCTTACTAACTATTAAAAAGCAGCAAATTAGTAGTTTACTGAGGCAAAAATCATAGTTAATGGTTTGTTAATAGCGAGAATTGAACCTTAAAGTGACCGACATTTAAAAAAACAACTAATAAAAATGACAAAAACACAACAAAATTATTAAAATATACAAATTCTAATTTAAAATATGAATAAAAATTATAGTAGTATCTCAATGAAACTAAAATAACACTGATATGCACTAAAGCTTTCATTTTAACACCAATAATATTGAAAGATTCACTTTAAGAGTTTATTTCATTTTTTGTTTGTTTATTTTCATTATTTATTTGACAGTGTTTTATAGTGGTTCTGTTCCAAAACTTAGGGAGCTCTCTGTCTTTTATTTCTACACTAAATTCCTTCATTATGCACTCTTGCGCTCTTTCATTAGCTCACTCTTTCTCATTTCCCTAGCTTTTCTCTTTCTCTGTTCCCCGATTCATATTTTTTTCTGTTTTAAATGCACCACAGGCTCATAATTCGTGACAAAGTCATTCTTGGCGGAGCTTGAAAAGACCAGAGGTTTTTTACGTTGCCCTTGAGCGCTCATGCCATTGAAAAGCTGAATTCATAAATGGATGGAGGATATGTATTCTGAGAGGGAGACCCAGGGTTCGGAGCACTTCAGCGGTTCCCCAGATTTCTTACTTCCCTCTCGCCGTCTTTCTTGTTGCCAGCTTGTTGTTTCATTAAGTGCTTATTTCGCCCGCTTCCCCTCCACATGCTGTTGCAGAGAAGCAGACTGTCCTAATATTCCTTCCTCTAAGATGTTTAGAGCACTTTAACAGAAATGAGTTCAATGTTTGTACGTGGTTTATTGGAAAACCGTACTGTAAGTAGGGCGTGATGTTGTGGACGAGAAAGACGTTTTATTGGCAGTCGGTTGATGGCTATTGGATGTACAAGAGAAGACTTTTTGACACCGTCACCATTTAAAACACCCTGCTTCCACTAGTTCAAATATTGAATATGGTTAAATATTTAAAATATATCATTGCAAACGTTGGCTATTTTTCCCGTTTAATGCACAGAACTACAGAATGCCAAAGGGTAAACCTTTTTCCCCTTAAAAATAAATAAATAATAGCCTTTTTAAAAATAATAATAATTTAATTATTTTTATTTGTTTTACTGCATTATTATATTTTAATTTTGGGAAATAATGTATAATTACTATTTTTTCTGTTTTTTATTTTTAAATAACCATTCATTTGTAATATCACAATAATAAAAATAATAATAAAAGGAAATAGATTTTTCTGTTTTCTAAACATGCACATTGGAATACAGGCCAAAAAGTTAAAAACTAATTATTTTATTTCTTTATTTTAAACAGCATTATTATTATTATTATTATTTTTTTTTCAATATTATAAAATTAAAATTATTATAAACATTGTATTTATATTTATTAATAATTATATTATTATAAAATTATCATTTTATTAATTAAAATAGTAATTTGATATAATTATGTTTTTGGAAGAAAAACAACATTTATTTTTTATGATATTCTGGTCTCAATATATGGCTCAGATTCCACCTTGAATGTAATTCTATGTAATTCACACTTTTTTAAGGTCGTATTCATGCCAAATGTTTGTCCCTATCCTCAAGTATGAGCAATAGCAATTAATTAACAATTAATAAAAAAATATTTAACAATTAATTATAAATATATAACACAATTAAAATGGCACTTCATGTCAAACTTGAAGTGCAAGAGATGTTATTCTGCACTTTGAGCACCTGTTGATCTATACTGGCGGGGTAGTG